ACATTTCTTCATGAGCTTGTTGGCCATCTGAATGTCTTCCTTGGTGAAGTGTCTGTTCATATCCTGTGCCCATTTTTCAATTGGATTATTCTCCTTGATCTTGTTGTGGTGCTCGAGTATTTTATAAATTCTAGATATAAGTCCCTTGTCTGACATGTTAAAAGCGCTTTTTAACACTTGTCTGAGTAGGTTAGAGGCTAAGGAAGTGAGGCCAATGGCCTGGGAGAGATTCTGCCGATTAGCATAGCTGAAATAAGAGGCTATCCTGACCAGAGAACTTTATTCTCATAACCTGTGACTTCCTTAATAAACTTCATAATCACAAAGTATTTTCTTTGAGTTCTGTGTGGCTATTGCAAAAAATTCTTGATCCTCTCAAAGAAGGAGAGAGTGCCATGGGAGGGATGGCTGGTGTCTGAGATACAGCATGAGTGTAAAGGCTTGTCTGACCTGATAGGCACTGTCTTGGGCTATTGATGAGGATTCTTCATGAAGAATCCTTGTGAAGTCAGAGAAGTTCTAATGACAATGACCTTATCTCTAGCCTGTTTTTACACAGATCAAGTTCAAATAGCTTAAGAAACCTTTTATGTTGACCAATTGATCTAAAAATCTGCTTGAAAGGGATTTCAATTCTGTTCCCCACAATCAATTCATATACACATAGAGTCTATATAGCAGCAATAACACACTCAGTACTTACCCTCCTAATAGTATCTGTGGCTGAGTGGATTCATTTGTGACACCGAAAATATCAGGAATTAAATCACCATTAAAACTGAAAAGATAACAATAAAAACATTGCACAATTATTTTTGTAAATTCTACTCTTCTCACTTAGTTTTAAAATAACACAAAACAAAAACCCCAATGGGAGGTACAGTAGGCATCACAATGCTTATCATTATCTAGCTTTGGTCATCTGCTATGCTAAAAACTATAGCTTTCAGTTTGGATTATATCTCAACATCAATAAAATAAACATCTTCACTAGTGGACTAGGGGTCGCATCACAATGTTGTCGCTGTTGAGTCAGAATCACCTCATGGCTGCTCCTCCAGGGGATTTTCAGAGTGTAAATCAGATAGGAGAATGCCTATCTTTCAGCCGTGGAATAGTTGGTAGATCTGAACTCCATGTCTTTGGATTGGCAGTGCAAGTCCTTACCATTAGGCTACCAAAACTCCCTAATATCATCATAGATGAATAAAAGATTGAAGTGGTGAATGAGTTCATTTAACTTCAAAGCACAATCAACACCCATGGTAATAGCTGTCAAGAAATTAAAAAAGTGTTGCTTTGGAAAAAAAATCTGCGGTCAAGGACCTCTCAAAAGACCTAAAAAGCAAAGGAGTTAGTTCAAAGACTAAGATATGCCTGATTCAAGCCAAAGAAGCTTCCAATTACTTTCTATGCATCTGAAAGTTTGACAGAAAAACAACTGATGTTGTTGAATTGTGGTGTTGTAGAAGAGTAATGAATATTCTAAGAATTATCAAAAGAACAAACAAGTCTGTCTATGATAAAGTGCAACCAGCATGCTCCTTAGAGGCAAGGATGGTGAAACTTTTCCTCACATCCTTTGGGCATGTTGTTAGGATTTGGCTCTTGGAAAAAGACATTATGCCAGGAAAGGTGGAGGGATAGAAAAAGAGTGGAAGACTGTAAACAAGATGAATTGAAACAGTGACTGGAACAACAAGCTTGAGGGTATCAGAGGTCTTGAGGATACAGCCGGAAACGCAAGGTTCAGATTTGCTGTTCATAGGGTTGTAATTGATGCATTGGCACATAACAACAGCAACAACCTTGAATGTTGTAACAACAGTGAAAAACATGTAAGTGTAAAAGAATCTGTGGACTTTTCGTTCAGACTTACAGTGGTCACTGGCCTATAATTGTATGCCATGATTTTAATAACTAAGAAAGGCAACACTGGAAATGCGAATGTAATATATATTGCTATAGTTCAAGAACGATTTCCACTTTATTATCAAAAATTCTGCTAAAAACTTACATTTATCATATCATATAAATTTGGGGGAATAAATGACAACAATATTTCTAAACTTCTGAGGAAATATTTTCTTTTCAATATCTGTCAATCAGGCACTATTCTTTTTTTACCTAAAAATAATTGTCTTAATTCACAACTGGGAGGGCCAGAATGAATATGAATCTATAGGTCACTTAATGAAAGGTAGTGAAACAAAAATAAAACCACAGTCCTTTTCCCCTTTTTGAAAATACTGAATTTCAGTGTACTCCTTTCTCCATTAAAAGAAGTGTCAAATACCTAAAAGCACAGGCCCTGCTCGGTCTCTAGTACCTTTGAGTGCATTCCAACTCATAGAAACCCAAGAACAACAAAACAAAAGGGCAGCCAGTTCTGTGATATCCTCATAATCATTGCTATGTTTAGGCTCAATGTTGTAGCAAACCAGGGACAGTAAATTTTGGGTCAACAGTAATTTCTAATGTAAAAAAATTTTATATATGGGAGCTCTGGTAGCCTAGTGGCAAGAAGCTGCAACTACAATCCCGGAGGTGCACGGTTCTAATCCACCAGTTGCTCTGCTGGGGAAGGAGGGGCAATCTTCTCCTGTACCAGTCAGATCTGATTTGACGGTACACGCGCGTGCAAACACACACACACACACACACACACACACACACACAAATAAATTTATATATGAAAGTATAAAATCTTTCAGAAGGAAGTAAGAACCTACTTACTCCATAATTAGAGGTTCATCTTCAAATGTCCTGTTGAGTATGGTCATATTGTGAGGATCTATAAGTAAGCATAAATTAACAAGGTATTCATATTATTCTGACTTGTATACTTAGAAGATAATATTTTTATGCTTTTCAAGATTGATCTCTAATTTATTCCGATGATTGCCAATAATAAGACATCATAAATCTAAAGTATCAAGTTTGTAAAGTTAAAATACTAGGAGAGCTCATTCTATATAACAAGGTCAAACATAACAGCTTTCTTTTGAGGCTTCAATAAAAAATAAATCCCTCAGATAAGCCTTTTATACATAATTTACAGTAGAGTAACTGACAATTACCAGGTTTTTATGTAAAGAAGGCAAAATATGCAAATAAACCTGACTTTAAGATGGCATGATTATAAACATACACACACACACACAGAGACAGAGAGAGAGAGAGAGAGGATTATACATAGTTTCCATTGTATTCTTGTGGCTATAATTATTTTTTTTCTTTTACATCTCAATATGAACTTTATTCATTCAAACTTTTTTAAAAAGTCCAACACAGTGTAAATGTAGGAATGTGTGGTTGTAATTCTTAATGAGAACAAACTGCCTGATCTCTCTCCTGGGAGGTGATTGCTGGATTTGTACCATTAGCCCAAAGGTGAACGAGCCCAGTAGTTGGCAGCCCAATGTGTAACCTACTCTATCACCAGAACTCCTCACTTGGGACATTAATGGTTGTCATGTGCCATCAAGTTGGAACCAATTCATAGGTGACCCTCTAGAGGGTTTTCAGAGGCTGTAAATCACATGGCAGGAGACCATCCATTTTTCTTCGCCCATGGGAAGCATAATTTCTTGTCTATTAGGTCACTTGAGATATTAGAAATAAAAAAATACCATTTCCTAGATAACGGTAAACCTGAGATTCTCAATAAAGTTTAAGTCTTGTGCCTCTCAGATACACTGGGATTTTTTTGGAGGACAAATAGGAAGAGATTGCTGTGCTTCTGTTATTTCTCAAGGGACCCAGTGCAGGCCATTCATTCTGTAAGAATAAGAGCAGCGACACCGTCATTCTCACAACTGCTGTGCAGTAAAATTGTCTGACATTAAATGGGTTATTAAACGGGATTGCTTCCTTGATGGCCATGGTGACAGTTACTGAAATTTCAGCAACGAATATGTACTACTAATTCTCTCAGCCATTAAAAGCCTTGGCTATAGCCTTCTTTTGTAAGCTACCAAGAGTGAATTCTTTTGTTAACTGAGCCCAGACTGGCTTTAGGTTTGAAAATCAAAACTAGAAAATAAACTTTTCCAAAGGTTTGTACAGATAATTACTGATATTCAAGAAGAACATTTTGCATCTGATTTTAGAACAATGTTCCTAGTATATTTATCTAAGTAAAGCAGGCATATTTTTCCTTTAATAACCAATGATAAATGTGGAAAATATTATAACAAAAAATATACCTAATGTCTGATTTTGTCCCCAGAAGATAACAACTCCAAAATAATTTTTTATATAATTTTTCGGAAGATATGTCAGAAGGACATCCATTTGTGAATCACCATCATAATCCCCAGGGACTACACTGGTTATCAATTCACTGTGATTCCTAAAGAAACAAGTTTAAAAAGACCCAGTCAAATGTTAATAAATTACAATGAAAATATATCTCTATATATTTGTAGTGCCTATATATATATATATATTTTTTTTTTTTTGCAGTTCAAAAGCTTCTTTATTGTGGTAAAAAATGGCGGCCGCCGCGCCAGTGCCTATATATTTTTAAACATTATATTAAAAACACCACAATATTGTTTTACTTCATTCTTTCCTTTAATATATTATCCTCTTAGATTGGGAGTTAAGAGCTCTTGACTAATATAAAATAAGATAAATATAGATTATGACAAAGCTCATTTATTCCTCCTGCACATTCAAGGATCACACATTTGAATGGTGTCTGTAATAAATAGTTCCAACTCATTGTCTTTTTAAAGTCACAACCAGCATACAGCTGACCCTCTGGTGGGTTTTCAGAGGCTGTAAATCAGATGGAGGAGAGTACCCATCTTTCTTCTGGGGAGCATCTGGTGGATTCAAATTGCCTCCTTGGTGAACTACTGGTGTATTTGAACCTCTTGCTTTTGGGTTGGTAGCGTAACCCCTTACAAATCAAAGCTCCATTTATAATAAATTGAAGTGGCCTTGTGGTAAGAAGCCGCGCTGTAAACCTGAAGGTACATGGTTAGAAGCCACCAGCTGCTCTGTGGGAGATAAAGGGTATGGCCAGTTAATCCAATTCGACTGTGTCTGAAAACCTGCCAGAGAGTCAGCGATGGGTTGGTTTTGATTCAATGGGACATAAAACAACAACAATCAATTGATAGATCAGGAAGGATTACCACTATAATTTTGTTAGAATATCTACATTTAATTAGGGCTTTTAATTGTAGACCTTAAATTTATAGTGAATATGAAATCATTTTAGTCCTGAAAGTCAGTCAAGAAATAAGATCTTGTATACTAAACCTGGTGAATACAGGACATTTCTGGATTATAGGTGAGTTCTCTTCCCAAGTCTATCTTGAAACTGAATTTGCATTTAAGTTGCAACAGTTAGGTACAATTCACTAAGTCAGTCAGATGTTTGTCTTGGTATACAGCAGGCAGTGTAAGTTCTATGCATTAAAACATTAAAGAAATACTTCTAGATATATTAAAATATCTTGAACACAATAATACAGAAATAATTTAGGAATCATTGTATGCATTTTGAATATTTAACACAACAGATTTACAGTCTATTTTTATATAGTCTATACCCTTCACCCATCAAATTGTACAACCACTCTGTATGTAAGTAAACCAGTAAAAAATAAAAATTTTATAAAAAAAATAAAAGAACAGGTAAATAGGACTTAAAATCAACCCACATGGAATTCTACTTGGAACAAATGGAAAGATAGCAAATTTCTTAGTAGATTATGGATCATTCTTTCCTAAATAACATTAAGAACTTAAAAGTATGTATTGCATGTAAAATCTAAATTTTATTTAAAGTGATGACAATATTATTTTCAGAAAACATAGTATCAGTCTCAGTTAAATACGTATTTCAAGCCCTGTATCAAGTAGTTAATGCCTTAACTTCTTTTCCTTGGCTAAATTAAGCATCATCAGGCCCATGTAAGAGAGTTAACATCTTCTGGGTGACTAAGTCATGCTGGGAGCTCTGGTGATGTCATCCATAGAAAGGTTTGCACTGCTAACTCAAAGGTTGAGGCCCTACCCTTTCTGTCAATTGGTTAACGTTTGCAGAGAGAAAGGCTCAAGAAGGAAGGCTTACCTGCCCCCCTTACCTAAGGATTCCTGAGATGCCTGGAACTTGAAGTCAAAAGAAACGGTGTAAGACAAGAATGACACATAGTGCTAAAAATAGATTTATTTGGAAGTCCATATTTTGAGTGGTGATTCCTTTTCCCTCTGGTTTTATTTGATGGGCATAAAGTTTATTCTCTGGAAAGTTTTCAGGCATTATGATTTAAATTACAGCTGATGGTAAGGATAAGACTTTAAACTTAAATACAAGGAATGGATAAAAGTTCACAAAGAACAGTTTGATTTTTTTAAATTTTTTTGAGATTTTAATGAAGGATTATAGATAACATGGATTTCCATTCACTCGCTGTTGCACATTTTCCTCCCTGCCTACTCCAATAGTTTGATTTTTGCACTCAGCTCTACCCTAATCCAACAATACAAGCCAGTCAGGAATATATCTACATGGTTGGAGACAACTGAGAAACGACATCCTAGCAAAGCGCATCCAATGAGCTTTGTTGTGCCTTGCTCTAAAGTATGAATATAAAATATGAAGACAATTGCCTTTAAAAGAAAATTGTGAAAATTAAAGAGCATTAAAAAAATAAAGAAGAGCACTAAGGGACCTGAAGGAAACAGAGGAAACAGAAGAAAATGTCAAAACCATGCTAAGTAGAGATTAGGGAGAGAGAAAGTCAATCCATAGCCTTCCTTCCAGGCCATTCTCATGCAGAGGAAGCAAGAAAACCATTAGCCAACAAACTTTTAGGAGTGAATTTACAATTTCTGTACATGCTAAAACCTTGATGCATTCTTTCTTCAAAATATCCTCTAGTGAAAATAAAGGAACAAACAACGAATGTAGCACATGGACTGTTAAATAGGGATCAAACAAACAAGCAAGCAAATCCTAACCTGTTGCTATCAAGTTGATTCTATCTTACAGCAAATAGCAAAAAGCAAAGTGCTAATGACAAGAGAATTGACTGTAGAAAGCCAAAACACATGAAAGGTGTATGATACACATAAAAATGAGATGAGGAGAAGATGGCAAAATTGTTTCACACATTTGGAGTATGTAATGTTATTAGGAGAAGAACATCTTGCTTACTGAAGAAAGCATCAGTTAAACGTAGGAATATACAAGAGATGAATGGACAAGTGGTTGCAATATAGTAATGACGGAGGGTGGAGCTTTAAGGGGCAGTGTCTCCTTCTGTAGAACACAGGCTATAACTAAGAACTGACTCTCCATAGAAAAACATGATATCATGCAATTTCTCTTTTTCAAAAGTGGGAGTGGGTGGGGAACATAAGTGAAATCTGCATGGTCACAATGTAAATAGTGATTAGGGAGGAGTGATAGGGAATGGCAAAGGATACACTGACAAAGAAGATTAATCAGAACTGGCTTTGACAAGCACTGTGGCATTTGGACAAGAACAAACT